CAGCACAGCACGCATTCGCCACTGGCTCTGCGAAGCGCACGGCTTCACTTCCTGAGAAGGGAACTTCCAGCAAAAACCGATGTGGGTGCGGCTGCTGTGCAAAGCACGGTATGAGAATCAATGCTGATGTCAAGCAACATGAAACTGCAGCGTTGCAACACTGTGTTCCACGCCATCCCACCCTTGTTTTGCTTGTTGACCTTCTGGGTGATGGCCTGGCCACCGATGGGCATGCTGGGCTCTGCAAGCTCGGCGCGGCTAGGCTTCACACGAATACCTAGAAACACTCCTATTCGTTCCCCTTTGTAACACGTGGTTCGCTCGGACATTAGACTGCGAGAGTTGTCAGCAACAGCTTGGGCGAGGGAAGAACGAGAAGATCGTAGATCTACCAGTGCCGGCAGCGAGTCTGATCTCTGCAGCCTCGACGAGTTGATCCGCGACGTGGACAACCTGCGGAGCACTACGAAATACTGGGATGGATGGTATGTCACGGCCCGGTGAGATCCCCCGCAGTTGAAATTTTGGGGGCGGCGCATGGGTTCCTCCTTTCGTCGTTGCGATGTTGTTCACGAAAGACACCTCTCTTGCAAGGTCGAGGAGCAGTACAACGAGCAGTAAGGTGCAACGTATCAAGGAGTCTGCCTGTTGAAACTGGCCATCTGAAACTGTCATGGCAACCTGCAGGGAGGTGCTGCACAGGACGAGGCAAAGGCATTTCAGCATTCTGCAGCCCACAGCCTCCCACCGCTCGTGGCACTTCTCGTGGACCTGGTGATCAGAAGCTTTAAGGGTTTCCCACCCGGCAAAGTGCTCCAGTTTTCGAGGCGCTGGCGATCTGGACATCTTCGGTGCCAGTGTACAGCGAGATGTAGTCCTTGAAGCTGTTGATTTCCAGCCTGGTGCATGCTCAAGGGCCGACAGGCTCCGCATTTCTGAACACTTGCTGGGCATAATTCAAAAGCCCCTAGCTCTCGCTCAGAAGCCTACACACGCTGCAGTGTTCTCCCGAGAGCCAAACATCCCCTCGAAAAACCCTGGCCCGGTTTTCAGGGTCCATCTTGGGAATCCTTTTGCTTCGTTGGTCAAAAAGGGTTGAATCGAATGTCGAGCTCACCTCACTTGCAAGATGTTCTCAGGCATCGGCCTCTTGCCGTTCAGATGCACCTTGCATTTGGCTGGAGTTGTGCCAGCCACATCGACCTTGTGAAAGGTGATCTGGGCTAGCTTCACAGCACGGCCACTCGGGTACGGACCACGCGACGACACATGAGCCCGACTATGTCCTGCGAGCGATTTGAACATGCATACCGCTGCAGTGGTCTCTGCCCCAAGCCCCGGAGGCCCTGTCCTTGTCCAATTTCTTCATGCCAAAGCGAGAGAGGTCCGGCCAGAACGTAATTCTGGAGGGAGCATTGGAAAAACCACTGCGTAACTCGAACTTTCAGGAAGCCGCGGCCCCGGCTTCGTAAAGCTCTCGCCGAGGTGCGCCGAGATCTTGGACTTCTGCTTCTTGCGCATGTTCTCCTCGCGAGCTGATCTTGCGCGAAACGAAACGAAAAACGCTCCGGAAGCGAAAGAAAGAATCCGGCACTCATCCCTCTTCTGCACCCCGCACTCCTCCCATGTCTGCTGGTACTTCTTTCTGCGCTCCGAATCCCCGCATTCGATCTCAAACCTGAAAAGGGTGCGACTCAGGGGAACCGCTCGAACTTGAATCGACCGCTAGTACCTGCGTGGCTCGCCTCTGGCATCGAACTCGACGAGATCCCCAAACTCGAAACCTTCACCCAGTCTCCCAAGGCGTGCTGAGGCCCGTGCTTTGTTGAGAAAATGTTGGTGAGCTTTGCGCCGTATCCATTCCGGCCACCAGTGACCTGACAAATCTGACGATCCGTCCCTCCCACTAGTCTAAACCAGTTTGGTGCCATTCGCATGACAACTACTATATAAGACTTGGAAATGCTGCAAACCGCTATGCTCATTCTGCTAATGAGCAATCAGCAAGACTTCGTGATATGTACTCTTACCCTACCATGCCTTGTGCATGCCTATGAATATGATCGCTACGGCTTTGCTGACAATCGGAATGATGGCCTTTGACATCATGATTATTCTGATCCTGACCGTACTAGTTGCTGCGATGTCCACTATATGTCTTCTTCCTCCTGCTACTTGCAGATCTTCCTAATCCCATTCCTGCGCTCCTCCCGCTCCTCCTCGTCCTCCTCCTACTACTGCTGCTACTGCTGCTTCTTTGTTACTTTGCGGCTAGTAGCAGTAGTAGTGGTGGTACTAGTAGTAGTAGTAGTCGTCGTCGTCGTCGTCGTGGTAGTAGTGGTAGTAGTGGTAGTAGTGGTAGTAGTGGTAGTAGTGGTAGTAGTGGTAGTAGTGGTAGTAGTGGTAGTAGTGGTAGTA